AGATGCATTTAGTTGCTGTGCAGTTCAAATTTGAAATGTTGTATGAAGCAATGAAATAAAATACATTTCTTGTGACAACAGCAGTGTCATCATTTTACGATATGCAATCACTTGACATTATTAATTTACAGTAATTAAAACTAATACAGTGATGCCTGATACGGTAGATTAGTATTTCCGGTGATAAAAAATGCAGCACCCTCTTACAGTGATGACAGTTACAGTACTCTAATTGTTACTGTTGTATTCATCAAAGTATTTTATATTTACTGTGAATAAATGTACAGTAGGAATACTGTAGAATGTAATACAGCAACGTACTTGCCAATTGCTACCAGCTAGTTACTGTGCATTTTATGGTGTTCTTTTTACAGTGCAGCCCTAATTAAGTTTCTACCTACAACCTGCAGCTTCTGCTTCCACCTGCAGAGGCAACAAACCTCCACCTTCCTCAGGAGGTCATAATGATCTGGCCTCATAATGACCCAAATCCTACAGCAGGGGTCTCCAATCCTGGTCCTCGAGAGCCACAGTCCTGCATGTTTTGGATGGTTCCCTCTTCCAACACACCTGATTCAAATGATCAGGTCATCATCAAGCTCTGCAGAAGCCTGATAACGATCCTGATCAATTGAATCAGGTGTGTTGGAAGAGGGAAACATCCAAAACATGCAGGACTGTGGCTCTCGAGGACCAGGATTGGAGACCCCTGTCCTACAGTAATAATTTGGCCTAGAACCAACCCAGGTAGACTGGCTCGTGTTTGGATGTTGAAACTGAAACACTTTTAGGTTTCTGTAGATGTGAATGAATCATGACTGGGCCAGAACCGTGATGCAGCACATTGTTAAACCCCAAACTGCCAGATATTTATGATTGATCACTTTACGGGTTTAATTTATGTATCTAGAAGTTTGGTGGATCTATTAAAAAAAAAAAAAAAACATGAAATAAATTCATATTGTTTTATATATTATATTTTAAAGACTTGAGAGGTTAACATAGTTTGGGTTAAAATTAAAATTAAAACTGTGTATTAGAACCCACCGAAATTCA